CCTCCGGGATCTTGGCCAGGATCCTGCCGTCTTTCTCGAGGGCGGCGCTCCTCCTCTTCTCATGCCTCCTAAACCGATCACGTAGTTCCCTCGGGAAGGGGCTCTAGGCCAGCTTTACGTAGCACCACCGGTCTTTCCACCCTTTGTTCGAGGACGGCGCCTCAGTGAAAAGCTTGAACAGCGCCACTTGCTGCAAATTTGCGAAGCCCTCGGCATTCGCATGCCCCCCCGGCACAGGTTGAAGCTCTGGAAGAAGAGATCTAGACTAGGTGTTACCCCCCGGGACTTGCAGAGCTGGAGGAACCCCGTGATGTAGGAATGGCTGTTCGGGGTCAGCTGCCAGGGGACCAAACCCACGAACCGGAGGTACTCCCGGAGGAAGGGGTGTAGGAGGAACCGGAGCCCCATCGAAACAGACAGGACATGTACCGCGATGCAGCCCTCGGGAGCCCGGGAGAGGACGTCATCGGGACCCGGTGCCACCACAACGGCCGAAGGGCCCACGTGTAGTTGAGTGACATAAAGATCCGCCGCATCAGCTTTCGACCTTATCTCTAAGGCGGCGATATTCAAGTATGAATACCCCTCGGGCATATCGAGGGGCTTCCCTTGGTCTGCAACGCTGCCCTTCTTCTTGGGGGCAGCAGCCTTCGCCTTCTTTTTTCCGGGGGCCACCCGGATGGGAACCGCGTTCAGCGGCCGAGAGGTGCTGGCCTCGCCAGTGCCCCGAGGGGGGAGAACAGCTACAGTGACCCTCGCGCCCTCTTTCTGCGCCTCTTCTTCAGCTGCTTGCCAGGCGAGGGCCAGCTCTTCATCTTCACACTCTTGTTCGAAGCCCTCGGCTTCCGCCTCAGCGACGAGGGCTCTCTGCAGCTCCATGGAGACAACAACATCTTGGCCCACCGAGGGCTGTTCACTTGTGGACTCCACGTCCGAGATGACTTCATCCTCCATTTAGGGCGCCCCCGAGATGTCCCGGGAATCACTTTGGGAAGACATCTATGCACTAGTTCGAGGTCTCGGAAACACTAGAGTTTTCTAAAAGTTCTATCTCCTAGCCCAAAGACACAGGGCACAGCTAACTAGAAGGAGAAGAGCAATGGGGAACTGACCTTAAGGCAAGGATTGATCGAAGGCGGCTGTTTCTCTCTCTAGAAATTTTGGCAGAGCTTCGCTACAATGATTTCGCACAAAGGAAAATGAAGCCGGCCATGGGGTATTTATAGGCGCTGGGATCCGGGCTTGGGCCTGGAAACCGGGCCTCCGGTTGGACTGCCATCATTACCAACCGTGGTTTCACCCAATCGGTGACGCCCGCCCACGGTTAGCCAACGAGCACGCACCACGTGGCGACCCCCCAACGGCTATATCCTGACGTTACATATTCCAACGACTATATTTCCAACGGCTATATTCTGGGAGCCCCGGGCTTTTTACTTCACTCCACTTCATCAAGGAGAGCCTCTGGGTACACTTACCCAGAGACGCTCCTGGGTTATGCCCCACACAGTACATAACGAATTCCTTCGGGATCACTCCTTCACAAGCCCAAGGCTTCATATCAGGCCACCCCTCGAGGATCCCCCCTCAGCACTTTGAGGGCCGGGTAGCCCCCGGGGAGTATGCCTCATTGACGGATAGCCTACGGCACACAGGTGACGGGACCCCTCGGATATCCTCATCACCAACTAATCAACAAACAGGGGACCCCCCAGTAACAATGCAACTACTACCCGCATTCATTACGCCCTCGATCCCCAGATTGAGGGACTCCCCTTCGGCGCCTCCCAGGGTATCAAAAGCAAGCCTCCGGCTAATCAACAAATGAGCCCCCAGAACGGGGAAAGCCTTCGGCATCATCATTATTCTCCATTTCGAACCAAGGTTTCACATTTTCGATTCATCATTGGGGGAATTCGGTGCACTCTTTTTCCCTCATTAGGATTTTTTCCCACAGGGTTTTTCCTAATGAGGTTTTTAACGAGGCATCCCCCCAAAATGAAACGAAAAGCGTCAGCCTTCGGCCCACAACAGCAACGCAACTACTCTACTCGTTTTCGCCACTTTGCAAGTGCCTCAAGGAGTGGGGGACTGGAGGACCCCCTCGGGAAAAATCACAAAAAACACAAACATGACCCCTCAAGTCCCGACATGTGGGTAACTGAGGGACTGCCCTCGGCAGAATGAACAAACAGCAAACTACCCACAACTCTACAAACTACAAACAGAACAACGGCAGAGGACAAACACAATTACTCCTTTTCCCTCAAGTACCTTTCGGTAAAAGGAGTGAGGGACTCCTGATGGAGTATATGGCCCGGGAACCCCCGGCCAACAGACTCCTACTACTCCAATAAAGGCCCAACAGGCCCAGGAAGCACAACAGGCCCAAATCACGGCGCCCAAGATACCAAGCAGCCCACAAATGCGCATCAGGGGTGCCTTCGGCCCCCTGGCCGAAGGCTCTAACTCTCACAGGAAGGCCAAGACAGCAAAACAAAGTTACTGGGAAAAACGGCGAAAATCAGTAGCCCTCGGCACCTGGAGCCCTCGGCACCAAGGGGGTCCCCGGCACTCAGAGCCCTCGGCTAGTCCTCTACAGCCGAGGGCACCTTTCCCGACATGATATCCGCGCCACATGCGTACAGATCACCGTACCCTGTACAACGTCCCATCCAACGGCCGCATTAAATGCGGCCACATGCGGTTGCCAGCGCCAACCAGTTGAGGTGACCTCTCGGCCAATGGACGCTTGACATGTGTCCCTATCCGGCATTTATTGCTACTATAAATAGCACCCCATTTCCCCATTTTTAACCACGCTGAAAACGCTGCATACTTTCTAAATATATTTTCTCTCTCTATACTTACTTGCTCTGACTTCTCTCTTATTATTCCCCGTAATAACCCCTCGGATAAGCTACCCCCCGGGTACACTATCCATCAGTTCCGTTCCAACTCAGCGGGAGAGTTCGTATACACATTTACATTAGAGAGTGATTTAACCTCAATGTCTATTTATGTGATGTGGCCGTGCATTTTGAGAAAGGGGTCAGATAGGGCCTCGAACTTACAAAAAAATGTCAAATAAGGTCTTATATAGGAGGTTCTGTCCGACCGACGCCATTTGGGGCGGTTCCCGGTGAATTTTTTCGATGAAATTTTGTGAGCATCTTATTATTTAAGTCTAGTTTACTCATACCAAATTTCAGCTAAAACTTCAATTGGGAAGACATTCAAATAAATTCTTGAAGATAACTGTGCTTTTAAGTGCGCACTTATCTTCAAGAATTTATTTGAATGCATTCCCGATTGAAGTTTTAGCTGAAATTTGGTATGAGTAAACTAGACGTAATGAATAAGATGCTTAAAAAGTTTCATTGAAAACTTCCATAGAGAACCGCCCCAAATGACGTCGGCCGGACAGAGCCTCCTATATAAGACCTTATTTGACATTTTTTTGTAAGTTCGAGGCTCTATCTAACTTTTTTCCGTGCATTTTAAACAACCCATACTCCCACTAAAGATGCTCTAATATAGAAGCATGGATATTGTCAAAAAATATAGGGGTTTGTCCTCAAATAATACTAATTAAAACCATTTGGACAAAAAAGACTTTTCTTTTAAGTTCCAAAAATAAGAATGAATAATACTTAAGGACTGCTACACCCTTACTCAGCCCAAACCCACTGGCCTGCTATAGTGACCCGTCACAGTGACCAAATGTGCAGTGACCAATGTTACAGTTACCAATGGCATAGTTACAAAATTCATCCAGTGACAAAAAATTAATACGTCCCACCAATGACCCACATCACAGTGACCAAATGTGCAGTGACTTTTGTCCAGTGACCAATTGACAAAGTGACATCTGCTCGGTGATCAATTTTTGTAGTGATTCCCGTGCAGTGACCACCACCACAATGACCATCGTCTACCAGTTACAGTTATCCGAACCATCCAATTATAGTCACTCGACTCATCCAGTTACAATTACCCGACCTGTCCAGTTACAGTTATCCGACCCGTCCAGTTACCCAATCCGCAAATTATTGTTTACTAATTTTGATCAATTATAATTACTTAATCAGATCAATTACCGTTACCAGTTCCATCATTTAAAGTTACAGACCCATTGAACAGATACTATATTGGTTAGAAAGAATTGTCCCAAAAAGAAGTTACGGACCTTCACCCCGGCACCAGTGACCACCACCTACGGCCACAGCCAACGACCACCACCTCCAACCAACAGACCCCAACCCCTACCGTGTCACCCCTGCCCCAACCAACATTCCCCACCCCACAGTAGCCTCCACCCATCACAGCAGCCCCCAACCACCCTCCCCTAGCCCTTGCACAACCGCATCGCACCACACCCCACCAGAGCCGTCGCACCATCGCACACTCTACTCCCACACAACCACTAGCCCGTCACGACCAAGCCACTTCAGCCACCGCAGGTCACCCTTAGCCTCTATCACCGCCATCAGCGGTGTACATGCGTAGATCTATTGAGGATGAAGGATCCAACAACGACGACGACCATTAAGGAAGTCTGAAGCAGCAACGCCGTCCATCGATCTTCGTTGCTGGTCGATTTTTGTAGCGGCGGGGTAGGGAAAACAACGGTGAACGTAGAAGAAATAGAAGAAAGCGAAATCGATTGAAGACTCGAAGGTGCTGCTTGCGGTCGAGGAGGCCGAGATGGAGATTCGAAGGTGGGAGATGTGATGGAGGATGGCTGCGCAGGAGTGGAGATTGAGATTTACGAATGGAATCGGGTCGAGGAGCGAAGATCGAAAAAGTATACGAAGGATTAGCTAATGGGAAATTGTGTGGGGAAGGGTAATTTAGTCTCTTTGCTTCAAAATTAGTTCTATTTCTGTCCAATGGCATAACCGTTCATATTTATGTCTTTAAGCATCCGAGGAGTATTATTGTGGTCATTGCATCAAAAATATACTTCGTACAAGTATCACCTAATAAACACGTGGCAGGTAAACGGAAATCGATTGTTCTAGCGAGCAATGCGGTTAGTTTTTTCCGACTCTTCCGGCACAAGAAAGAACAACAACCCTTCTCGATCAAGGCTCAACAATGGCGTCCTACGGTTACGGCGGTAGAGAATCTTTCTCCCCTTCAGCTCCGCCCTTACCCGCCGCCACTGACGAGCACCAGCTTTCCCACCTATATCATCCCGCACCTTCTACCTCGTCCCTCCACCCACCGACAATTTACTCTGTTCCCAGCTATGCGCCGACAACGTATTCCGTTCCCAGCTATGCTCCGACAACTTATTCCGTTCCAAGCTATGCTCCTCCTCCTCCTCCGTCTCAGCCTCAGCTTCAAAGTAGCAGCAGTTATGGACTGAGTCCATCCTATGGGTACGACTCGCATATTGCTTTTCCTGCGGGCACTCATCCGGATGTCATACGGAGCTTCCAAATGGTGGATTCGGACCGTAGCGGTTTCGTTGAAGACAAGGAACTCCAACAGGCCCTCGCTTCGGGTTACCAAAAGTTCAGTCTCAGGACTGTCCGTTTGCTCATTTTTCTCTTTAAACATCCAAATGAATCTTCTCTCAGAATTGGTTCGTTATCTGTATTTAATTAATTATTTATGCAATAAAACTTTTTGTTTAGAGCTGAATAGATGACATATTCTTGTAATTGCTGTTATTTGTTTTTTCTTTTGGTCAACAGGGCCCAAGGAGTTTGCAGCTCTGTGGAGTTATTTGGGGCAATGGAGGGTGAGCAGGTTTTCATCCTCAATTAGTTTTATTGAATTTATTTCTTTTTTTTTCAGAATTAATTAATGTCATAAAATTGTTATTTTCAAACCACTGTGACTGGTTCCTTTTTCATTCGGAGGGTTAGTTGAGCTTAAATTGGTTCAGTCCATCTATGTAGAATTAGAATTTAGTTATGGATTCACAGCAGCTAAGGAAATGACTTATCTACATGCAATATTTTCCACAAAAAAAAATTAAAACCTTGGGCTACGATTTTATACAAGTAAGGCCGTACAATTCTGAACTTTCATCTTGTAATAATCTAAGGACATTTCAAGGTCATTTGCAGCATTAGAATAGGTTCAGAAAGATGTTTTGTTATGTTTTTTGAACTATTAAGGTAAGGATTTATTTGATTTACTTTGATTTTGTGAAGGATAGTGAGGCAATTTGTTTCCCATTGCTAGTAGTTGTTCATGAGTACTTCTCTCCAATATCACACTTACTTACACCCACACTTAGTGAGTGCGCATGTATTTCAATCAAACTGCTGTTTAGGAAACCTTTGAGAGGTTCGACAGAGATAGGAGTGGGAGAATTGATGGAAGAGAACTAAGAGATGCTCTCTACAGTCTTGGGTATTTGGTGCCTCCTCCCGTCCTTCAACTTCTGGTTTCCAAATACGATGGCGACAGTGCTGGGCTGGACTTTGATAGTTTTGTTGAGTAAGTCTTTCTTTTTCTGTCCTAGCCAGGCTTTTGCTCTTCTCCACACAAGAAGATAGAACAATTTTTGGTTATACATAGCCATGTTCTTAACTAACTTTGATTTCTTGTGGATGCAGATGTGGGATGATTTTTAAGGTACTATCCCTCCTTTGAGTAATCCTTTGAATGCTCTACTTGTTTCTCACGATTTATATAAACCATATCTGTAAATTTCCAGGAAAAAAGTGCAATTTGAGTAGCTCACTTCAAAGGGGTTTATTCATCCCAAACAAGTGATATATTTCCTATATGTGATGTTTGGTTAATTGGTTCATGTGACCTAAGGTTACCTCCAGGAATGTCATGTGAGGTTGTGAGAATGATTACCTTAAGTTGTTTGGTTTATGGAATGTGTTACTAATAATTTATAATAAAGATAAGGGTCAAAACTGAAATATTCCAAAATATTACCAAACTAATCTTACTATGTGGATTTAATCTCATGTCCTTGTGGTAATATGAAAACATAAAGCAAACATGGTAATCTCAGCTTATGGTCTTGGTCTTGCACTTAGCTTGGATAATTGGCAGTTTGGCACTGCTAAGTCAAGACTCAAGAGTACATGAAGTATTTCTCGCACATACAACTCTTTGTGGACTACTTTGAGTTATAACCATATAATAATATATCTTACCAATGTGTTATTTAATAATTAGATTAAGTCTGTATGCAAGGGTATCATATGCAGCTATGCCCAAATCAGCGTACTGGAAATGTAATTTTGCACTTTTAATATGCGGAGTAGGGAAGAAATGTTATTGCACTATTATTTGTTTTGTTGCTGAAATGGGTTGAATCTTCTGAATTTTCTGAAAGGAAAAGCATTTGGTAGAATCCATTAAAGCCAAATAAGTTAGTGAAAAGCTAGTTATTTCATTGATTAAAAGAATAAGCCTGATAAGGATACCAAACGGAGTCTTGATCTATGAAAAGGCTGGGCTTAGTCTTTATATGTTACTCCATCATCAACAACAACAACAAAATCCAAGTCTTACTCCCAAAAGAGTTTTGGTCGGCTAACATGAATCCACATTTGAAATCGGAGATAAATAGGTAGTGATATTGATATTAGTCTTTGTATGTTACTGCATACGCCCTAAAAAAATCCCATTTTTAACAAGAATTGCGAGGCTGAGATTTTTTCTCCAATTTATTAATAGACCATAGGTCCTTAATCCCATATTTTTACTTTCTTAGTAATCATCTGAAGTCATAGCGGGAGGAAAACATTAGGATGGAGTATGTAACTGTGAAAGTATATTAGAATATACTTTAGAATATGCTTTAGAATATATTAGGAATATACCATAGATATTATTATTGTATAGAATCTTATATAGGTATATTCTATTTGTAATGTATATTTATAGGGACTTCCACAACTAATGAAATACAGAAAATCTTTCCTCCACTTTTCAATATTATTCTAGTTTATATTTCAACATGGTATCAGAGCCTTCCATTTCAGTTAAGTTTTTCTTTTCAGATTTCAGTTTAGTTTGTCATATCTCAATTTAGTTTTCAGACTGTGTTCTTTCTCCAAGAAATTGATTTCAGTCCAGACTCTTCAGAACCTCTGGCAGAGAAATCTATTTCAGTTTAGTTTCAGTTTACTTTTTCAGATTTCAATTCAGTTTGCAACTCAGTTCAGAACATCTGTGCACCATTCTTTCTCCAAGAAACTCAATCCAGGACAGAACCTCTCTACACACCATCACCATTAACCAGACCCTCTATTGAGAACCTGAGTTCAAGCAAATTCAGAATATTGGTATCAAGCAAACTACCTCCATCTCTGCGAGGTCCGACCATTTTTTCGGCGAAATTCTGACTACACCATTCCTGCCGTTTCCGACCAGGTGTTGAAAGTACGCAGCTCCAATTCTCGCCTCTATTCTGGTGCGTTGCCATCGCTTCTACCCCAGGTATACTTCACTTCTTTTTCGTTCTTTCTCTAGAAAGGGAAGATAGCTGTGAGAGGAGGTCCGGTGGTTGGTCGATCGCTGGGTCTCGCATAAGAAAAGGCTCGCTGGGCATCGCTGGTTGAGCGAGAAGAGGCCCTTCGTTCTTTCGCCTCTATCCCATCCGCTGCTTCACTATTGTTCTGTCGCATGTGCAATCTGGGATCTCGCATGTGCATCAGATCTGCGCATCTGCTTTGGTGATAAGTTCAGGGCCCAACAGTCAAAAGCCCAAGCTGGATATTTTATTCTCTAATTTTTAAATCCACAAACGAGAAAGCTGCGGTGAGTCCAGTATTCACTTAATATTTCAAGTTTTATTCTATTTTATTTTACCTTTTAACCTAAAAAAACAAAAAAAAAAAGAAAAAAAAGAAAAAGCAAAAAAAAAAGAATTATGTCTTGTACGGATAAATTTGACAGAGGAGTAATATGCAATTACTGTAAGAAGTCCGGACACTTGATCAAAGACTGCAGAAAATTGCTGTTCAAAACTCAAGAAAATCGGCTTGCTCATGTTGCTTCCGCTACCATTTCATCTGATGGATCAATTGCTATTTCTTCAGACGAGTATGCTAAATTTATTTGCTATCAAGAATCTCTAAAGCATTCCTCTGTCCCTATCCCGGTAGTCGCACATTCAGGTATTTCAAACACATGTCTTGTTTCATCATCCTCGAAATGGGTCATTGACTCAGGTGCCACATATCATATGACCGGTAATCCTAGTCTATTCTCATCATTTCACTCATATTTACCTACTTCTAATGTCACTTTAGCCGATGGGTCTATCTCACCCGTTCTTGGATCTGGTACTGTTGTACCAACTTCTACATTACCATTATCGTCTGTTTTGAGTCTTCCTAATTTTGCATTTAATCTACTTTCCATCGGTAAAATCACACGTACTCTGAATTGTTCTGTAACATTTTTTCCTGGATATTGTGTGTTTCAGGATCTGTTAACAAAACAGACTATTGGTAAAGGACATGAGTCAGGTGGTCTTTATATTTTGGATACATCAATCACAAAAGGTATCTCTTGTTTTGGGGTTAGAAGTCTGTTAGAAGCTCATTACCGATTAGGACATCCATCTCTCCCACTAATGAAGCAAATATATCCTCAGTTTAATAAAGTGTCATCTATACAATGTGAGTCGTGTGAGTTTGCAAAACATCATCGTACTAGTTTAAGTCCTCGACTTAATAAACGAGCAAACGCTCCGTTTGATCTTGTTCATATTGATGTTTGGGGGGCATGTCTTGTTGTGTCCAAATCTGGTTTCAAATATTTTGTTACATTTTTTGACGATTATTCTCGTATGACATGGATATATTTTATGAAACGTCGATCGGAGTTATTTACACATTTTTCTGCATTTTGTGCTGAAATTAAAACTCAATTTAATGTTCCTGTTCGTGTGTTGAGGGGAGACAATGCCCAAGAATATCTCTCTGCTCCATTTAAATCTTTTATGCTTCAAAATGGCATTATTCATCAAACTTCATGCGTAGACACACCTCAAAATGGAGTCGCTGAAAGAAAGAATCGACATCTGTTAGAAGCTGCAAGGGCTCTTTTATTCCAAATGAATGTGCCTAAACAGTTTTGGGTGGATGTCGTGTCTACCGCATGTTTTTTGATAAACCGTATGCCATCTTCTGTTTTAAACGGTAAAGCTCCTTATCACTGCTTATTTCCGAATAAAGAGCTTTTTCCTATCCCACCTAAAACATTTGGTTGCACTTGCTTTGTTAGAGACGTTAATCCTCGTCTTACAAAGTTAGACCCCAAATCATTAAAATGTATTTTCTTGGGTTATTCTCGACTTCAGAAGGGGTATAGATGTTTTTGTCCAAGTACAAGTCGATATCTTGTTTCCATTGATGCATCATTTCATGAAAATACACCTTTTTCATCATCGAAGACAGATATTCATGGGGACAATGATGAAATACTCATTTACTCTGTCACTATACCGGAATCTACACCTTCTGTAGCTATTCCGCATGTTACTGTTCCCGACCCCAGACCTTCAGTACACTTGGTTTACACCCGTCGAAATAGAGCACCAGATCACCATCCGCCTGTAACACCTGTGATTACTTATCCTGATATTGGTCCGTCCTTGATCTCATGTCCTGAACCGGTACATGCATCTTCAGATCTTGTCTCTACATTAGATCTTGACCTTCCGATAGCTCTACGTAAAGGTACACGATCTTGTACTCATCCTCTTTCTTCATTTGTGTCGTATAGCCAGTTATCTCATGCCTCATGTTCTTTTATTGCTTCCATTGATTCTGTCTCTATTCCCAAATCTGTTAAAGAAGCTTTATCTCATCCTGAATGGCGTCATGCCATGGTAGAGGAAATGAATGCTTTAGATCTTAATGGTACTTGGGATTTGATTGACTTGCCTACAGGGAAGAAATCTATCGGATGTAAGTGGGTCTTTGCTGTTAAGATTAACCCAGACGGATCTGTTGCTCGGTTGAAAGCTCGATTAGTTGCGAAAGGTTATGTTCAAACCTATGGTGTTGATTATTCTGACACTTTTTCTCCTGTTGCTAAATTAACATCTGTCAGGTTACTTATTTCTCTCGCTGCAACTCATGATTGGCACTTACATCAGATGGACATTAAAAATGCATTCTTGCATGGGGACCTTCAGGAAGAAGTTTATATTGAGCAACCTCCGGGATTTGTTGCTCAGGGGGGGTATGGGATGTCGACTTCGTAAGTCCCTTTATGGTTTGAAACAAAGTCCTCGTGCATGGTTTGGAAAGTTCAGTCAATCAATTGAACGATTTGGCGTGGTAAAAGGTCAATCAGACCACTCTGTCTTCTACAGACGAACGAAAGCAGGTATCACGTTGCTTGTGGTGTATGTCGATGATATTGTGATTACAGGGAGTGATACTGCAGATATTTTGGCTCTTAAGAATTTTCTTCATAGCCAATTCCAGACGAAAGATCTAGGTTCATTGAAATACTTTTTGGGTATTGAGGTAACACGGAGCAAGAAAGACATATTTCTATCTCGACGCAAATATGTACTTGACTTGCTAGCTGAAACAGGGAAATTAGGGGCAAAGCCGAGCAATACTCCTATGATTCCTAATGTACAACTCACTTACGAAGGTGTGTCGTTCGAAGATCCAGAGAGATAGAAGATTGGTTGGAAAACTTAATTATCTCGCAGTTACCCGTCCAGATATTGCATACTCAGTGAGTGTAGTGAGTTACTATATGTCATCTCCCACAGTTGATCACTGGAATGCTGTTGAACATATATTATGTTACTTGAAGGGGACACCAGGACGAGGTATTGTTTATCAAAATCATGATCACATGAGAATAGAATGCTTTGCAGATGCTGATTGGGCTGGATCTAAAGATGATAGAAGATCTACATCTGGCTATTGCGTCTTTGTTGGGGGTAATCTTGTCTCCTGGAAAAGTAAGAAGCAGAATGTGGTTTCTCGATCTAGTGCCGAATCAGAATATCGTGCTATGGCACAATCAGCATGTGAGATAATCTGGATAAATCATTTATTGAGTGAAATTGGATGAATAGCCTGCTAAACTGTGGTGTGATAGCCAAGCTGCTATACACATTGCCAACAACCCAGTGTTTCATGAGAGAACAAAACATATTGAGGTCGATTGTCATTTTATTCGAGAGAAGATACAAAAAGGATTGATCTCTACAAGAATGTGAAGATTGGGGAACAACTTGGAGATTTGTTCACTAAAGCACTAAATGGAATTCGAGTTGGTTATTTATGTAACAAGTTGGGCATGATAAATATCTATGCTCCAACTTGAGGGGGAGTGTGAAAGTATATTAGAATATGCTTTAGAATATGCTTTAGAATATATTAGGAATATACCATATATATTATTATTGTATAGAATCTTATATAGGTATATTCTATTTGTAATGTATATTTATAGGGACTTCCACAACTAATGAAATACAGAAAATCTTTCCTCCACTTTTCAATATTACTCTAGTTTATATTTCAACAGTAACTAATACTAGTAGTTAAGAAAGGTGTAAGAGCAATAACTCATAAATAGCAGCGTGACATTCAAATGTCTGAGGATCTTGTCTATATGTGATTCGGCACTCCTAAAGGATTTGAATTTGATGACATGCCTCATCATGCTTTCTGAACATTTTTTCCTTTTGTTTTTCTGTTTTTTTGTGAATGCACAGAACAATGAATTAGCCTGCAACCTGCCTTTGTTTTTGTTTTTGCAGGGTCTGACAGAGAAGTTCAAAGAGAAGGATGTGGGGTATACAGGGTCTGCTAAGCTGAGTTATGATGAGTTCCTGTCAATGGTCATCCCTTTTCTCGTGTCATACTAGGAACAGGAGGAGGATGAGGAGTGAAGTAACCACACTCTCAAGGAAAGGTTTGAAACTTTGAATCTTGTAATTATGGTTGGTGTTCTCCAGCTGGATAGCATTTTTTCAGGCCACTTCTCTTTGCCTTCAACTTTCATGTATCAAGAAGGAAAAAGAACGCTTGAAATGTTCGAATGAAAAAATGGAATTTGTATGTGATTTGGCTTATTGAGAATGATATACGAACTTGAAGGCTAATTTGAACCCTTACTATTCACTATTACCCAAAAAAGTAACCCATGTATGTTGAATGAGTTCGGATGAGCAAACATAAGTTTGGTTGTGGTTGACATCTCCACCCCTTGTTTGATATAGGGAGAGCGGAGAGAAATATAGAAGAGACGGCTACAAAGTAAAAGATGGAGAATAGATTTTATTTGTCTTTGGTTGGGGAAAAATTGGTAAGAAATGAATAGTCGTTGGGAAGAAAAGATTGCTCTTAGGCTTGCGATTGGTTTAGTTGTTAGACAAAACGTGTGGAACTATTTAAAAAAATCTAAACTTTTAATATCGATTCAGTTCTTATACATTCTTATGCATTATTTGTAGAACTAATGTATAACCGAATCAAATCTTAATGGTTTGTATTTAGGAGGTGTTTATAAAATAGCGTTTCAGCTAAAAGTGACTGTTTGTCACCTTTTTAACGCGTTTCCAATAACTGAACTTTTCAGATAAGTGAAAAGTGAAAACGTTGTTTAGTAAATAACTATTGGGTCCTAGCGTTTTTGAACGGAACCGTTGAAATAAAAATACTGCAAATACGGGAGTCTTGGTCAAATAGTTACATTACCAAACATGTTTTAGCAACCGTCCTTAGTCATTTTTCAAGCTTCTTTACTCACCTCTTCCACTATGGTTTTATTGACAAGCTTCTTTACTCACCTCTTCCAGTCTTCCACTATGGTTTTATTGACAGTTCCTCTTGTTTACTTTGTCCCGTTTTGTAAGGACATTTTCTCTTTTAGGTTATTGCAAACGCTTTGCTAAAGTAAATTGAATTCCATTTAATTTTTTCTTTCTCGCTTTATCCATTTACGTATCCTTTCAAATTTTACAGTTTTTACTCTTGTGGATCAATCCTACCTTTTTTTATGATTTGAGGTCAAAATGGTAAAATAACAACCTTCATTATTTTCTTAAAACTTGTGTCAAATGCACACATATCATACATTTTGAGACAGAAATAGTATGTATATTTAAAGCCTTTTCAAGTTTTCAACTTATTCTTTTGGACTATGTTTTGAGTTAAAAATATCATGTGTTTGTGTTTACACGATTTCAAAAGGGTATTGTAAGTTGTAACCCTTCGTTAGAGCTTAACTATACTCATATGGGTTGCGTGGAAAAAGTTTACGGGGCCCGGGACTGGACCTTATAAGTTATAAATCCGATTCCGAATCAATCCCCATCAATCGGTCAGTCCCGGTTGCCGTCCGATCCAATCTCAATCTTTTTTACTAAATAATTTATTGCAAAATAAAAATGCATAAGTGAGTAATGATAGCATTTAATATGCATTACAAATTTTTTATGTTACAAATTTAAATAAGTACATAATACTTTTCAACTTAAACGATTTGCGAGTTGCAAAAAAAACTTAAACGATTTGCACTTTTATTGAATTTGGCTACACTATTTGAAATTCAAATTCAAAACATAATAACTAAAATTAGCATCAAATTTAAAACGATACAAATGTGTCTTGGATGAGTTTTGAAAACTTCATTTTTGTGTGTTGAAAGCATCAAATGAAAATGTTTGTGTAGCGTACCGTAATCGACGTTCTATTGCTTCCTTAAATATAAAATTCTTCGACAATAAAACACATCGTTTGATGTGTTCTCATTGAAGCATACTGAGTTAACATTGCAAGCAAGAAAGATAGCGCTCGACACTTCCATGTATATGTATATGTATATGAATTCTATAAATATATATGAAATAAATAAAATTATGTAAGTTGAAGATGGGATTATACTAGAAAACGTATAGACGATGAAGATGAGAGAATTGAAGATGTACATGAATAAGTATATGATAATATGAATATTGAATCATATAATACTATCTCCCTCTTTTAAAACTTTGTCATCTTTGACTTTTGAAATCAATCATGATAAAGTTCAGACCATAATTTTGATTAGTATAATATTATGAACGTTATAAGTTTTATACTGTTATGAAAATACTTTTAACAAATAATATTTACATATCATTTTTCTATTATAAATAGTTTCTTATTAAAATATACAATTGGTCAAAGTTCAACATGATTGTCGAAAAATTCAAAGATAACAAAGTTCTAAGAGGTGAAGAGAGCACTAAATAACATGAATAGATAAGAGAGTATGTAGTAGTGTAGATTGTAGATTAAGGGAGTATTTGTAAAAACTTAAAAATGTATTTTTTAGATTTTGACTTAAAAAAAGCTGAAAAGAGTGTTTTCAAATGTCTGATTTTGTTTAAATTAAGCACTTAAAAGCTAAAAGTTGGAAGTAGGTGAAAAGGTGTTTTAAATTGCTTTTCACTTTTTCTATTATACAAAAATACTTATTTTACCAAACACTATCAACTTTTAATTTTTTAGAATCATTTTTTCTCTCAAACACTACCAACTTTTTCTATTAAGTACTTTCTCTAAAATCACTTTAAAAAATCATTTTTTAAAGTAGAAGCAATCACAAACACTCCCTAAGTAAGATGAGATATTGAGATAGTTGAAGTGTATAAAAAAATTAAAAAATGATAGGAAAAATGAAAACTTTTATTGTTTTTATCCACCTCACCTTCAGCCCCAATCCTTTATACTATCGATAGAGTAATTCGTCTAAAAACCTTTTTATGTTGAGTTCTGATGCGGATTATAATTCAATTACATTTTCATGTATTAGAGTTTACAATTAATTCAATTATTTAAATTTTTAAGAAAAGTTAAATTATACCGTATTAATGAAATTTGATCAAAGGTACCAAAATTTTATTCACTTTGATCAAACGTACAACTATATTCACAATATTCTATACGAACAAAAAATTCCCTGCAACTAAATGGGAGTTCTTTTTTTAACCAAATGGGAGTATTTCTTATTATATTTAATCTTTAAGTTTGTTTTAATATCTCAATTTTTTTGTCATGAAGTTTGCCATGATGTGTGTTTTGTTTTTTACAATCTTTTAAAGCTAAAACTATGTTGTTTTAAGCTTTTTAAACTCCATGTTTCTACTGTCATTTGCGAAAAATTGGTGTCCTATTTGAACTAAATGTCTTAATTAGAAGAAATCTTGATAATATATAATATATACCAGTAACTCCAAAACAAGAAGTTTTGCGGTCTTGCTTATGTACGTTAGGTGAATCTTATACTAAAATCACTTTAATATTCTTATCTATTTGCTTCCATAGTTGTTTAGGTTACCAAAGGGTATTCAACTTTAGTGGAAACTATTCTAACAATCTCTACATAATAGGTCATGATTAAAGAAGTGTAGTTTGGAGAAGATGATATGTATTCTCTCTTGATGAAATGTGCTGATCGATACATGGTTAATATACGAAGGAGATGTTGGCTGTTATCCTAAAATTAAGGAGATAATTATGCACTATCACTGATTAAGGTAGCTATTCTAATGGTAAGGAATATTACAATAAATACAAGATATATATGCACTAAATGGGATATTTTGATATATGGTAATTATGTGCTATTACGCCCCCGCAAGATGGAGTGTCCATTGGAGACTCCCAGCTTGGACCGAAATCGTTCAAAAGGTTCCTTCCCGAGGGGTTTAGTCAAAATGTCCGCAATCTGTAGTTTAGAGGAGATGTGGTTGACCTTAAGAGCGCCCTGTTCGACCATGTCACGTACAAAGAAGTAGTCTAGAGCCAAGTGTTTCATGCGGGAGTGGAACACTGGGTTAGCACACACGTATGTTGCACTAAGGTTGTCACAGTATAAGGTGGGCACGCCAGGGGTCGATATGGCAAGTTCCTGGAGTAGATGTTTGACCCAAATAAGTTCAGCACTAGCATGAGCTACAGCTCGATATTCGGCCTCCGTCGAAGAGCGAGACACACATTTTTGTTTTGCCGATTTCCGGGAGATGATGTTAGACCCTAGATACAAAACGTAAGCTTTCGTTGACCTGCCAGCATCAGCAATGGTTCCCCAATTTGAGTCACTAAATGCAGTGAGGTTTAGCATGGTGTTGTGTCGAAGGTGAAGCCCAAAGTCAATAGTACCTTTGATATACCGTAGGACCCGTTTAACTAACTGCCAATGGAATTCCGTAGGTGATTGCATGCGTTGGGCTAGGCGGTTAATGGCATAAGCAATGTCTGGGCGGGTGATAGCAAGGTATTGAAGTAAGCCAAGCATGCGCCGGAACCTGGTGGGATCCGAGAGCGTTTCTGGTGCTGGTACCTGCTGCAGGGCCGTAGCACTGATCGGGGTAGATGCCGGTTTCGCATCAGTCATGGTGCTGCCCTCCAAGATGTTGTGAATGTATTGCCGCTGGTGTAAATGAAATCAGTGGCGGATTGTGTCGGAGCAACTTCCTAGTAATGCACTGAGGATAGTCTTATCTTGACGATACCAAGTGGTGTAGTTAGGGTTAGGTTGAGTTTTGGCGGTGTGCATGAAAGGAGATGGAACTTCAACCGTGCCGTCAATGTATGCGTCGAGACCGAGGCCAATGAGCGCTGAATGCACCTGGCTTTGCCAAACGGGATAGTTTGAGGCAGAAAGCTTAATGGGGAAGTGGTTGGCAGCGGTAATGGAAATAACAGTTGTGGTGTCGGTGATGATCATGGTGGCTGGCAGACCGAGAGAGACGAAAGAGAAGAAAAAAAAACTTTGCTCGTTAGAGTCTAGCTCTTGATACCATAAAGAAGTGTAGTTTGGAGAAGATGATATGTATTCTCTCTTGATGAAATGTGCTGATCGTTACATGGTTAATATACAAAGGAGATGTTGGTTGTTATCCTAAAATTAAGGAGATAATTATGCACTATCACTAATTAAGGTAGCTATTCTAATGGTAATGAATATTACAATAAATACAAGATATATATGCACTAAATGGGATATTTTGATATATGGTAATTATGTGCTATTAATGATGTGTCTTTGACTATATAAAAATGTGAGTGCAAATAAGTAAGTCAGCTATCTAAATGTCATCTTAGTTCGTAAGACTCTGAGCATTTGACATATCCATAAGAACACTTAGAAAACAAAAGTTACTGGAAGTTA